CAAGACATTAATGATATGGAAGTTCTATCAACAATATAATAAATCATGTCTCAGTAAGCTTACCTTTCAAGAGTATATCTTATTCCTAGAAGAACAAATGCCATGGGCAGAGGATATATTAAATGCTGATAATTAGCATACTTATTGTCTGCATTTGGACTAATGTCCTCCCATGTAATGTTAGGAGGCAACCAAATGGTCGGCGACCAAAAGGTGGCCGATATATTTGAGAAAATATCCATTTCTCTGTGTCCTGCAAACAGATCATCAATGATAAAGAGATGATTGATAAGAGATCATCGATGAAAACGTCGAATTATAGAAAAACTGAAAAAGATTGAGCAATAAATATTACATTACAATACATTCACTTTATAACAATTATCACAGACCACCGGACGGTATATTTATTCTATAACAATGATCACAGACGACTCGCCGGTACATAAAAACGCCCGGAACAACGGAAACAACTTTTCGAGAAAAATCGTGGGATCACGCCAGAGAAATTACTATTAATTAACGCAAATCGTGCACGCTATCGTCATCGTAGAAGCGCGGCCAGGTCGCGCAGAGAAGAGAAAAAACGCTTCCACGCGAATGAACGCGCCACGAGGAGAAGAGAGAAAAGGCGACGTCGGAGACGGGCCTTGGGCGAGAGAAGGGCACGCCGCGCACGCACTTACCCGGAGCCGCTGTGGCCACCTCGGCACGATGTACCGCACGATCCGGAACGCGCCACCGGACGGACGAGAATGAGGCTCGGGAAGGCGGCGCGCGCTCGCCGCCACGGGCTGCGCCGTTTTCGCTCTGTTCTGTGTAGCGAGCGAGCCGCGCGTGCGCTACCGGAATGGTCGTCCCGATTAGCGCCGGATAACGCGAAAGGGCTACGATAAGGCGGCGACGTCAATGGTCTTACGACGATGATGACAGCTAAATCCGGAGTCGTGAACGCCCCGCGATTACAGCGTTGTCGTTGCTGCTGCTGCTGCTGTTGGCCTCGCTATCATCCCGCTATCATCACCGTCCCACCACCAGCGTTGCCGCCGCTGTTGTCGTCGTCGCTACCGCGAGGTGCGGTCGTGACACAATCGAGATAACGAGCCTATTCGACCGCGTGACCATTCTTGCCCGCTTTGACGGTCACGCCGCACCGCCGCCGGCACGCTGCGGCTACTCCGAAGTACTCTAAATTAATGATTACCGCACGATTCTGCCGTT